CTCTCTCTCTCTCTCTCTCTCTCTCTCTCTCTCTCTCTCTCTCAGATGCTGAGACGGACCAGGCAAAAGAACAGCGTGAACCACAGCTCAGCTTTCCAGGACCCTACAGTAAATCTCTCTTGCTATAGTGAGTTTTTACCCCTAATAAATTCCTTCCTCTTTAAGCAGACTCCGTGGATTTCTCGTTATATTCCTGAATCTTGCCCTCCCCCACTCCTTTTTGATTTTTTGAGACAAGAGTCTCAAGTATACCAGGCTATGTGACCAAGGATGACTTTGAACTCCTGACCCCCAGCTCACCTTTATTCTGATTCCCAAAGGTTTGGGACATTGACCATTACATCTCTGAGGAACTCTGGGAACACTGGGCAGTAAGGATCTCCTGTTGTAGCATTTTCAGTTACTGGTTGGCTTCCATGGTCTGTGAAGTCCTTGTCCTTTATCTTTGCTTCCCAACTGAATTTCCCCCTACTGTGGTCTTCTTATTGTTAAGGTTTTGTACCATTAAATACACAAAATACACACCATACACACACACACCACCACCACATACACACACATACCACACAAACATGCATGCACGTATACCATTACATACCACACACACAGGCACACATGCATATACACATACCACCACACATACACACTACTAACACACACACACACACACACTTTCCCACCATTTGAGTGGGATCTAAGAGTGTATAAGCAGATGCCTCTTTTCCCAGGTACTGTTACCACCACACAGGACAAAGGTCGTGACATCATTCCCCCATAAGGTTCAACAGAAGCACCATGCAGAGAACCCCCTCCAGGAAAGGGCCAGCAGGGCTGTGGCGGCTGCCCCAGTTTTGCACTGACTGTCTCTTCTCCCAGCCCTTTAGAGTCACACAGTGTGACGAACATTAAAGCTGGCTCTCACCCACTGCTGGGGCTGGAGCTGCAGAATTTTCAACTCAGGCTGGCTTTCCTTGTTGCTGTTTTTTTCTTAAAGAACACCGAGAGGGCATCTAAGAGCCAAATGGCCACCACATCCAGGCCTTTATCCAGGGACAGCTTGAAGAGTGCTGGTCCTGTCTTGGGAGGGGTGGGTAGGAAACAGAATGCTGTCCTCTGTTTGGAGAGTTTTTAAACGGCATGATTATACTTTCTAAAAAGCTTTTTAAATTTTAGGTCTATCTTATGTGTATGAGTGCTTTGCCTGCATCTACGTCTGTGCACCACTTATGTGCCTGGTGTCTGCAGAGGTCGGCTGGAACTGGAGTTACAGGGGTGGTGAACTGCCACGTGGGTCTACAAACTGAATACTGGTTCTACAAGAGCAGCCAGTGGCTTTATCCCCTGGGCCAGCTCGCCGGCATATCAGCCGGAGATTGTATCTTTGCATACCAATCTTCACACTCAGCAGGAGAGCAGCATGGAATGGACCTGGATCTGGGAATGGGCTCAGGGCTTTGTACACATGAGACAAGCATTCTCCATTCCTTCAGCCACAGATTAGCCCTGATTTTATTTATTTGTTTGTTTATTTATTTTGACACATTCTCATTGTATAGCCTATGCTTCTGAGTGTTAGAATTTCAGGTTAGTACTTCAATAACAGGTATTATTTTAGATGATTCTGAGAGCTATATTATTTCTCTTTAAGAAAAAAAAATGAAGGGCTAGAGAGAGATAGCTTAGTGGTTAAGAGCTCTTCCAGGGGGCTCAGGTTCAATTCCCAGCACCCACATGGCAGCTCACAACTGTCTGTAACTCCAGTTCCAGGGGATCTGACACCTTCACACCAATGCACATAAAATAAAGTTAAATACATTTAAAAAAGAAAAGAAAAAGGAAAAAATGAAGCAGGAGAGATGGCTCAGCAGTTAAGAATGCTTGATGCTCTTGCAGAAGACCCAGGTTCAGTTCCCAGCACCCCTATTGGCTGGCTCACACCCACTTGTAACTTCAGATTAAAGGGATCCAACACTCTCTTCTGGCCTTTGTGGGCACCTACACACATGTACTCAAGTGTTCTCTCTCTCTGTTACACACACACACTCACACACACACTGAAATAAATCTTGAAAAAAGGTAAGAAATTGAGATCAGTGAGATTGTTTAGTGGGTAAATGCAGTTGCCACCAAGCTTGATGATCTGAGTTCAACTCCTGGGACCCACTTGGTGGAAGGAGAGAACCAACTTCCATACTCACGCCATGGTATATTTATGCTCCAACACAAATAAATTAAAAAAGAAATGAAGGCGGGGTGTAATGATGCACACCTTTAATCCCAGCACTTGAGAAGCAGAGGCAGGTGGGTCTCTGAGTTTGGGGCCAGCTACAGCTACATAGGGAGACACCGTCTCAAAAGCAAAACAAAAAGCCATGTTCTGAACGACGACGACGACAAGCTTGAGTTCAGAATGAACCTGCAGCCTTCTCGTTTCCTTAACCCCCCCCCCCAGCCCTTCTCTCAACACTCTCTTTTGGAGATAATTACTCAGCCTCCCTGCCTCTTCTGGGAGCAGACATTTCCTAGGGCCCTCTTCACTAGAGCTTACCTGAATCGTTCAGGCTGCTGTTCCTCTTGGCATAGGCGCTGCGGACTACCTGCTCATACACCTGGGCACCGATGGTCCTCACGTTGTCCCGAAGCAGGATGCCTTGAGCCTGCACCATGAAGAGGTAGGTATTCACTGTGGAAAAGAGGGTGGAGGAGAGCTGAGGAAGAAGCAGGGGTCAAAGCATCCATCACACAACTTGGGGCTTTCTATCCTTTAGAACCTCCTTCAGCTCTAAAGGCTTCCCTAGTCTTGCTACCTCTATTCCCACCCTGGACTCAGGACACTCACAGTTCTTGGGTGGACAGTAGTGCTCAGGGGAATTTCAGCCAATCCCAACTCGGTGTAGAAAAGCATAAACTTCAGTTACAACCCACCTGGTGTGCAAGCCTTCACAGTGCCCTCTAGCACAGTATCAATCAGAAAGACCTTCATAGACCAATGGTAACACTTGACGAAGATCTCTGCTCTTAGCACATCCACTTTACACTTGATGTCACTAAGAATGAAGTACAGGCCACTCTGCTCCCCAGGCACTGAAAGCTCTGTGTCCCAACACCTCCGCATAATGATGGACTAAGATGCCCGCCCAGCCTGCCAACACCCAAGGCAGTAAGGCCAGCACAGCTGAGTGCTCTTCAGGTAATGTGAGTAAACTAAAATGCACTGGTGAGCAAGTGAGTAGTGGATGGGCTAGTCACTGTCGCCTTAAGCTGGTGTGGCTGCTCCAGGAGGGAGTCGCACCCCAGAAGTCATAATACCCTCTTTCCTGGCCAGGCTCTCCATGCCTCACTCCCTTTCACAGGGAAAGGACTGCCTTACAAGGGTGGCTTCTTTACAAGCCATCCCTGCTACGGTCAGAGGTGCAATCTTCAATGTACGGCTGGCTTCTAACATGGCCTCAGGCTGTAGTACAGGGCTTACAGTCTTGGTACTCCTCTGTGCTCAGCACACATGGCCTTGGGCTGCAATTCTGGCTCAACAAGCTGTATCTTGGTGACATGTACTGTTATTATCACTGGGTCCCATACATAATGGGCAGTAACAACTGCAGGGGTAATGCCTCAGAGTCTGATGCTACACTGGAGTGGGGACAAAGTGGCTGGACAGCTCAGTGTGGAGCGTGGAGACCCGTCCATATTGAGAACACCTTCGGAATGGAGTCTAAGGGAGCCAACAGAGCTCTGTGCTGGAAGACACATGCACTCATTCCACCCTCCAAGAACAGAACAGACGTAGGGCTTGTTCTCCAGAGGGCTGGAAAACTTCAGAATCTTTTTCCCCCTACCCCCTAAGTTTTAGTTTTTCAAGACTGGGTCTCTCTGTGTAGTCCTGGACTGGCCTCCTGGGCTGGCCTCGAATTTACAGAGACCCACCTGCCTCTGCCTCCGAAGTGCTAGGATTAAAGGTGAGCGCCACCAGCACCGGTCTGAACTTCAGAATCTTCAGATATAGCCTCTGAGAAGTCTGTGCACAAGACATTTTCTATTTCCAACCTGCAGTGCAGCGCAGGGTCACAGCAGGAGGGTGGCCCACAGTTCATGTATTAAAAATGAGACCTTCAACTTCTTCTCAGAGCTCTTGCTTGCTTTTGTGGCACTGTTCTGTGTTCCCATAACCTGGTCTTCCTTCATTTCCACAGCTGTCAGAAATCACCTTAAAAACAAGCTGCTCTTTCAGTGGGTGCTGGTGGTGTATGGCACACGTGTATGAGGCTAGAGGGCAACCTTGGGTGTTATCCTCAGGAATGCCATCTGCCTCCTTTGAAACAGGCCTTCTTTGTGGCCTGAAAAGCTTACCAACTAAGCAAGACTGGCTGGCCAGTGAGTACCAGGGACTTCAAGTCTCCACTGCCCCGATGTTGGGATCACGGCACAAGGCACAGGCCTGGCATTTTCACGTGGGTACTTTTCATGTGGGTGCTATGGATGGAACTCAGGCCCTCTGGAAGCACTTTACCAACTGAGCCATCTGTCCCCAGACAAATGTTTATGGAAGCATTCAGAGTACTAGCGCACTGCAGACGAACACCCCCACCCAGTGTGCTGAAAGGTAATGCCAGCAGAGGGCTCCACCGGCACAGCTACGCCACTCTTCCTTGAGAGCTCAGAAAACAGGTTTCCTGCATCTGCCCCCAGGCATGGAACTAGGACAGCCAGGGTGGAGCCTGCAAGAGGTAACAAATTCACAGGTGACACCAGTTCTGCTAGCCCAAGGGTACACCTGGAGACAGCTACAAGGAACTGCAGCCGTACATTTACAGTGTGTGTGTTAATTCTTTCTCTTAATTCCCCTAAAGATCCGAAAAGGAGAGAAATCCATTAACGCTGCAGTGACCTCTGAGCACCTGCAGCAGTCATCGGTGAGACAGGATGAAAAGTAATCTGTGGAGCCCAGAGATCAGCATCATGTGTTCATCTACCATGTCTCTCCACCTTATTTTTAAAGACCGGGTCTCTCACTGAACCTGGTGCTCATCAATTGTGGAGGCTGTCCGGCCAGTGAGCTCTGGGGAATTGATCCCTGTCTCTGCTTGCTCAGTGCTGGGATTGCAGGTACACACCGACCACACCCAGCCTTTTGTTTTGTTTTTTTCAAAATAGGGTTTCTCTGTGTAGCCCTGGCTGTCCTGGAACTCATAGATCCACCTACTTCTGCCTCCCCCTGGGGTTAAGGGTGTGTGCCGCCGCCACAGCCATCATCACCCCCAGCCTTTATGTGGGCGCTGAACTCAGGTTCTCATGCTTACACACAGAGTACTTCACCCAGGGAGACATCTCCCCAGCCCTGCTTTGGTTGTTTTGAGACAGGGTCTCCCTATAAAATCCAGGCTGACCATAAACTGGCTGTGTAGTTCAGGCTGGCCTTGAACTCACAACCTTCCTGTCCTCAGCCCAAGTGCTGGGATTATAGGTATGTGCCAGCTTCCCCAGCTACAACTATTTATTTTTGTCTTACAACTAAGTTTTCAGCATCCTGCTCCACTGTGCTGTCACAAAGGAGCCATGTGCTCAAATAAAACGGTTACTAGGAAGGAGCTAGACTAGACCGTCAGTGTTCTTCTCTTGCACAGAACTGTCAGATGGATCTTTCTAGACTTAGCCACACACACACACACACACACACACACACACACACACACACACACACACACACACATCTCCTGCTTTGCTGGGGCTGCTACTGCTACACAGATTTTGACATACAATCCCAAGAAACTTTCAAACCTGGGTCAACACAGAGTTCTGGAGGGATATTTCCCTTTCTATCCCAGTTGTTTCTGATAACCTGATAAAAACACCCTGACAAAAAACAACCTAAGGCAGAAGGATTTTGCTTGGCTTACAATTCCAGCTTGTAGTCCATCACTGAGGAAATCCAAGTGTGAAAATCTAGAACAGAGACGTAACAGTGTGCACGCTTGTTAGTACTCAGCTTGCTTTCGACTCTTCTGCAGTTCAGGGTCCACTTTTAAGCGTGGCTTTGGGGTCAAGATGACTCACTGGATGAAGAATCTTGACCACCTGAGTCTGATGCCTGGGTTCAGGTAGTAGGAGATGTGACTCTTGAAAACTGTCACACTCGATAAGTAAATAATTTTTTTTTTTTTTTTAAACAGGGTTTCCCTGTGTAGCCCTGGCTGTCCTAGAACTCTCTCTGGAGACCAGGCTGTCCTCAAACTCAGAGATCCACTTGCCTCTGCCTCCCAAGTGCTGGGATTAAAGGCATGCTACACCACCACCACCACCACCACCACCACCACCACCACCACCCAGCAGTAGATTAAGTTCTAATAAAAATTTAAACTGACTTGCAATCTGTTTTATTAATAGTTTGTGAATACTGTCTCCTGAATAGGTCTTATCATTTTACTAAGAAAGTCACACAGGGGGCTGGAGAGATGGTTCAGCAGTTAAGAGCACTGGCTGCTCTTCTAAAGGTCCTGAGTTCAATTTCCATCAACTACATTGCAGCTCACAACCATCTATAATGTGATCCGATGCCCTCTTCTAACATAAAGGAGTACATGCAGATAGAGCACTCATAGACATAAAACAAATTTTTAAAATCTTAATTAAAAAAAAGCAAAGAAATTCACACAGACATACACCACTAAAGCCTTTCTGTTTAACCACAGGAACATGCTCAACCCTGAGAAACATAAAAGACCAAGAAGGCAAATGTTGCCAAACAAAGGGAATCAGTACCATCCAACAAACATCGTCCAGAAACAATGATTTCCAAGGACACAGGCAATCAATCAATCTGTAAGACATTTTGCCATCTGAGCAGACACAGGACTTCCAGGCTAAATACTCACTCTGAACTGCATCTTTATGAGGTAGATGCCATCCTGACCCTTTTTCCATGTGAGTGTCAACACTTTTTGTTTCACACTGCCACTGGCCCACGGGTCATGTGGTTAGTGAAGTCAAAAAAATCCCTTATGTGCCGAGCGGTGGTGGCACACGCCTGTAATCCCAGCACTCAGGAGGCAGAGGCAGGCAGATCTCTGTGAGTTCCAGGCCAGCCTGGTCTATAGAGCTAGTCCAGGACAGGCTCCAAAGCTACAGAGAAACCCTGTCTCAAAAAAACAAAAACAAAAACAAAAACAAAATCCCTTATGTACAAAGCCCAGGTGTTCTGGAACACTGTAATGAGCCTTACTTTGACAAGCAGTACTTTGCAGCACCATGGTCCTGATGAGCACTGGCTGAACTGCAGTTCAATTTTAGCTTGACATCCAGCTGAGCAGTGCTCCATGGTGTCAGTAAGTGCCTCTGCAGACTTCAGACTTAACTTTAGACTTAGCCCCTGGGTGAGGGGTGAGGGAGGCTCAGAAACGCTGCCACAATGTACCCGCTGCTAAAGTGACACTTAGCACAAATCAGCCTTGCTGACAACTCTGTAATTATTACCCAGCCCCATGTCTAGATCGAGGAATCTCTTATAACCATGACACAGATAAGATAAATAAGCTTTTCCTTGCAGCCATGGCTTCCCCAGAGTGCTTCCAGGCACAGAGTTGGAATCTCCTCTCTTCTCCTGGGTTCTAATCAACCTGAAGTTTTCTCTGGAATATACACTAGTAAAACTAAGAGACAGACAAAGCCCTCACAAAAGTACCAGATTGGAAGTAGAATACGGTGATGTAATGAGCCCACAAGGAAAAAAGGGAGTTTAAGTATCTGTTGTAGACCTGCGTGCTTGTCAGTGTGCCTAGAAAGCTAGCGTCTGAGAAGCAGAGTAAGGAGCTGGAGAAGGAACACAATCACAGGAGCTTCTGTGCCATGCTCAGGCTGTGAGCAACACTTTGAAAGCCAAGATATTGAGGAAAGGGTCCAGGACTAGACTTCAAGAGAGCCAGCTAATGGGAAATGCTCAAGACAAGTAAACCCCTCACCCAAACACCAAGGTTCCAAAGCCAAGCCTGGGGACTTGTTCCTGTAAAGCTTTACTTGGAAGGCTGAGGCAGGAAGAAGCCAGCCTGGTCTACACAGTGAGTTTTGGGCCACCCTTGGCAATTAAGTGAGATTCTGATTCTAAATAAAGTACACTAACTGCAGTAACACAGGCCTGTAATGCCTGTATGTGGGAGGCAGAAGTAGGAAGACGGTCCCCAGTTCAAGGCCAGCCTGGTCTGCACAGCAGTGTAAGACTCTGTCTTGGTCTGTGAATTGGGGAAATGGGTAAAAGCCAAATCTGACAACTTGAATTTGATCTCTAGGACCTACACTGCGGAAGGCACCAGAGGTGATGTCTCTGCCACAGGGGTGTACAGGGAGATCAAAGCACATGTGTCAGA